AGACTATAAAACAGGACCATGCAAGCTAAACCATACAAAGTGATCTTAATGGTCAATGGGTAAAATTACAAATGTTCCACAATCTATAAAATTTTTTTAAAATATTAAAAACTCTCCTACTGTTATAAATATATATGGAAATTAAAAATTAATAAAATGTATTAGTAAACTGTAATTTCAAACATTAGATATTGAGAATTAAAGTGTGTATTTCTTTATAAACACAAATATATTTTTCAAATATTTTTTATCAAAACACACAAATGTTCTTTTTTGTTATTAAGCCTCACCCAAGAATATTTTTTCTATTGATTTTTAGTGAGAGTGGAAGGGAACGGGAGAGAAACAGAACAAAAAACAAAAATGTGAGAGAGATACATCAATTGGTACATGCTTTTGACTGGAATGGAACCCATGACCCTTCAGTCTGTGGGCTGATGCTCTAACCACTTAGCAAACTGGCTAAGACCACAAATGTTCTTAATGGTATTATTCATAAGAGCCAAAAATAGGACACAAGCTAATGTTGATCAACTAGTCAATGGATAGACAAATGTGTGCGATACATCCATACAATCAGATATTATTCAGGAGTAAAAAAGAATGATACAAGCTATAGTGTGGATAAACCTTAAAACCATTATGCTAAGTGAAAGAAGGCAAGCTTTCCGCGCTACCCAGGGAGGGCTCCATACGGCGTTGTTCTCGGTTCCCACGTAACTTAAAGGGAAACTTTTCACAATGTCCGGAGCCCTTGAAGTCCTGCAAATGAAGGAGGAGGATGTCCTCAAGTTCCTTGCAGCAGGAACCCACTTAGGTGGCACCAACCTTGACTTCCAAATGGAACAGTACATCTACAAAAGGAAAAGTGATGGCATCTACATCATCAATCTGAAGAGAACCTGGGAGAAGCTGCTGCTGGCAGCTCGGGCCATTGTTGCCATCGAAAACCCAGCCGACGTCAGTGTCATATCGTCCAGGAATACTGGCCAGCGAGCTGTGCTGAAGTTTGCTGCTGCCACTGGAGCCACTCCCATTGCCGGCCGCTTCACTCCTGGAACCTTCACCAACCAGATCCAGGCAGCCTTCCGGGAGCCAAGACTTCTGGTGGTTACTGATCCCAGGGCTGACCACCAGCCTCTCACAGAGGCGTCTTATGTTAACCTGCCCACCATCGCTCTGTGTAACACAGACTCTCCGCTGCGCTATGTGGACATCGCCATCCCTTGCAACAACAAGGGGGCTCACTCAGTGGGTCTGATGTGGTGGATGCTCGCCCGGGAAGTACTTCGCGTGCGTGGCACCATCTCCCGGAGTGCTCAGCCTGCCACTGAAGACTGGTCTGCAGCCCCCACTGCTCAGGCTACTGAATGGGTAGGAACAACCACTGAGTGGTCCTAAGCTGTTCTTCCACAAATTCTTAACGGAACGGAAATAAGGTTGATGGAAAATAAACAGTTTCTAAAAGTCGTAAAAAAAAAAAAAAAGAAAAAGAAAGAAGGCAAACAAAAGAGATGACATACTGTATGATTACATTTACATAAAATATCCAGAAAAAAGAAACTCTATTGAGATAAAGAGTAGATTATTGGTTGCCTAAGGTAGAAGTTGAGGGGAACAGGATTAGCAGTAAATCAACATGAAAGATTTTATTGGAATGAAGGAAATATTCTTGAAATTCTGAATGGTTATGGTTGCACAGCTTGGTAAATTTACCAAAAAAAAAAAAAATCAATGAATTATACCCTAAAAATGAGGGTACAAATTGATTGTAAAATGTGCCTTCATAAAGCTACCTATTTTTAGTCCTACCTGGTTTCGCTCAGTACATAGAGAATCCATCTGTGGACTGAAGAATTCCGAGTTCTATTCCAGCCAAGGGAACGTGCCCAGGTTGCAGGCTCTATCACCAGTAGGGGGCATGCAGGAGGCAGCCAATCAATGATTCTCTCATCATTGATGCTTCTATCTCTCCCTCTCCCATCCTCTCTGAAATCAATAAAAAAATAATAAAGCCACATGTTTTTACAAACCCTTATCAAGAGTGATTTGAAAGTGATTGCCTTCTCTCATCCACGTAACTTGTGATATGAAATAATCATCATTTCTATGCCTTGCTAAAATATTATTTTCCTTTCCAAGTCTGAATCAATTTTCAGTATTTTATACTTTACATGATTAATATTGTGAAATATTTCTGAGCATTTATTTAATATGAAGATTTTTATTTTGGTTTTGGTTTTTTGTTTGTTTGTTTTCTAGCATTGTTTCCTCTGAGACATCTTTATCGTTTTCATCATGACCACTTTCCTCATTTATGTCAGTAAATTTCTCTTCACTAAGTTCCTCTGGCACATAGAGCGTCTCTCAAATGGCTGCCAGCATTTTTTACTTACTTACGTAATTTACTTCCAGCATTATCCCTCTCCATATCTGTCCTGCACTTCCATCTTTGTTGCCCAAGTCCCTCTTTTCATTGTCTACTTTTGAAAAGTGTCCAGTGGATTTATCATTGGAAGACAACAGTCATACAACTTGCTGTCAGTGTGTAAAATGAGCAACAGATGTGTACTGACCAATCACCAATAGACTTTTGAAGTGATCTGATTGATCATTGATCAAAATGAGCATCTGTTTTTTTGTGTAGTAATTTGTAAACTGAACAGCTAGAAATGGAGTTTTTACTTAAGGCCATAACTCACTGCTAATATTCTATAGTGACTGAAATTAGATCTGTGGTTTTGGAGAACTGTTGTGATTTAACTAAATTACAGTGACTGAAATATATTCATAGTGAGGCTGTGCAAAGTTAGGACTGCCTGCATTGTGTATGAATGTGACTGTTTGCAATCATTGTTTCATATAATTTGTTATATTGGTTGTAGGTTGCATTCAGATCTAAGTAACAAATCCTGAGAGTGATTTAAACATATTAGCTGTACAGTTTTCTTCACATAAAGAATTACAGAGCCGGAACCAGTTTGGCTCAGTGGATAGAGTGTCGGCCGGCGGACTGAAAGTTCCCAGGTTCGATTCCGGTCAAGGGCATGTACCTGGTTTGCGGGCACATCCCCAGTGGGGGGTGTGCAGGAGGCAGCTGATCAATGTTTCTCTCTCATTGATGTTTCTAACTCTCTATCTTTCTCCCTTTCTCTCTGTAAAAAATCAATAAAATGTATTTTAAAAAAAAAAAGAAAAAAAGAATTACAGAGTAGATAGTTGTCAGGTACCCTGGCTCCTTCTCTTTACAGTCATATGTCCTTACTAGGTAGCTTTTATTCTCATAGATTGTCTCATGGTTTCAAGATGGCTGCTCTACGTGTACCATAACAGTGGAGTATTAGGCAGGAAGAAGAGGAATGACCAATGGTATCAATATGTATAAAAGCCAAGCGACCGGAATGATAGAACGACTGGTCACTATGACGTTCACTGTGCTGGCCAACTGATCAGCACCCCCAACCTACCATGTCCCCTCCCCCTGGCTGACCCTGCCCCCAATCATCCCCCCCACCCCAATTGGCCCCCTCCATTGGGGGCAGGTCCGCTGACCTCCTGCAGCCCACCCCCCCCAGCTGGCCCCACCCCTATTGGACCCAATCAGGGGTGGGGCCAGCTGGCCAACCTCCTGTATCCCCTCTCCCCCACTGACCCGGCCACCATCGGCCCCCATCTGCCCCCATTGGGGCGGGCCGGCTGGATCCCACCCATGCACAAATTCATGCACCAGGCCTCTAGTAATATATAAAAACAGATAATGTCCTTTTGTAAAAGAGCTACCCTAGAAGATCCTCCCACTGACTTCCACTTACATCTCAATGGCCAGGAATGTGTCACATGACCAGCTCTGGCTGCAAGGCAGTCTAGCAAATGTTAATGATTTTACTCTTTAGAAATTAGAGTTCCATTAATTAAGAAAAGAAGATTAGAATGGATATTGAATAGATAACTAACAATATGTTACACATTAAATATTTTAAAATTTCACCTTATTTTATCACTAGAGGACCAGCGCATGAAATTCATGCGTGGGTATGGTCCCTAAGCCTGGCCTGCAATCATGGCCATCTTCCCCAGCAGCCAGCCCCGCCTCCCCACCACCACCCACTCCTGGTTCTCCATTCACCATTGGGCGATTAGAGCCTGCCAGCCAGGGGAAGGGACCAAGAGGTTGACTATTCCTGCCCACTTGCCAGCCTCATCCCCTGCCACCAGTCGCCCTCTGTGTGCGGAATGACCAGTGGGGTGGGGGCCATGGCCAGGTTTTGCTCACACCTGCCACCACCCATCCCAGGCTCCCCATTTGCCATTGGGTGATTGGATCCTGCCTGCGCGGGAAGGAAATGAGAGGTTGGCCAGCAGGGCGATCAGGGCTTGCGGGCTGGGGGCAGCTCCTGCATTGAGCATCTGCCCCCTGGTGGTCAGTGCACATCATAGCAACCAGTCATTCTGCCGTTCGGTCAATTTGCATATTACCCTTTTATTATATAAGATAAGCATTTTATACATGTTACCCACTGTTAAGAATATCTTTCGTGTTGGAATATTGTATATATTCCATTACAGGTATCATTAATAACAACTATTTTTATTTTGTTGTGTGGCCCTTATTTATTCTTTTTTTTAAAAAAATATATTTTTAATGATTTTTTAGAGGGAAGAAGGAAGAGGGATAGAGAGTTAGAAACATCAATGAGAGAGAAACACTAATCAGCTGCCTCCTTCACACCCACTATGGGGGATGTGCCCACAACCAAGGTGCATGCCCTTGGTCGGAATTGAACCTGGGACCATTCAGTCCACAGGCCGACACTCTATCCACTGAGCTAAACCAGTCAGGGCCCCCTTATTTATTCTTGAGTTTCCACATATTTGGATATTTTCCTTAATTAATGGTCAAAGAATATTAAAATTTTACGTTCTTTTTAAAATTGTTAATTTAGAAGAGTCATTCTTTATTAAAATTAAATTCTACCAGGGAAAAAGATGAAGGAAAATGCCCCTCCTAAAATTCATAGCTACCTTTCCTTCCACCTTTCATTAAAACAATTTTCTTTAAACATCAATATCCAAAATAAAAATATCATTTTATTTCATTTTTGGTTGTTTTTTATTTGCTAGAATTTGGAAATATTTTATACTATTTTTCTAGGCAAATATACAGTAATATACATTTATGAGTGAGTACATAGATTAACTTAGGGCTTAAAAGTAATAATTATATTTGTTTCTTTGAATTTTATGGATGCTGCATAAAATGCACATTTTGTGTATACACATTTAACTATACACAGTTTCCAAGGGTGGGGTGGGGATCTTTTACACAATATGGCCCCTAAATGTAAGCCACATGTTATATCTTATGCTCAGTCGAGGAAACTGTGATCTATTCCTGCATGGAGGGAACACTAAGCATGTAGAGACCCTATTAAGAGTTAACTCAGTTTAAAACAAAACCATATAGACAAGCACACATGTTTGATTTAGGATCTCTTCTAGGATAGTTTCTTTGACTGGCTGATATTCACATTAATCATTGACTTTATAACCTAACCCCATCTAAGATATGATTCCACAGAAAACTATTCTGCATTATATAGAGCTGATTTCCTTTTTAAAAACTTGATGTGATTTCTGGCTACTTGCTGTGTGTTGATGATAGTTGAATATAATTACAAACTAATGAAGAGAGAAAATCTTAAGAATCCAATATAATAAGTGATCTTGTGTCTAAGAGTTGATAATATTTGCCCTTTAAATATGAGAAACTTTGCTAGTTGTGTTTTTCTTAGATTTAAAGAATGATGAATTTCAGTGTGCTGCCTGGGCATTCACCAGAAATGCACCAACAGACAAGACCAGATGATAGTGGGTATGGTGACTAGAGGCATGCCATACAGTGGTGGCAGGTGGACCTTAAAAATGCTTGAGAAGTTGTATAGTATTTATATATTATATATATTCACATATAATCAATAATTGGGCTGATTCAATTGCACAGGGAAAGCAGTTGGGTTTAATAGAAAGAGAAAGTGAGGGCAGGCTTTATTTTTCTTTGTGAATAGATTTTGAGCTATTTACTGAAGGGCATTTAAGCGTTTTCCCCATGTGAACACAATCAGACTGGTGATTGTCAAGAAAATATTTTCATTTATGCACAGTAGTCAACAGCTGGAGTTTGAAGCCATATTGCCTACATTCTAGTCTTGGCCTCAGCACTGCATGGGTGATCTTTGTGAATTACTAAACCACCTTATGCCTTAGTTTCTCTCTGTGGAAAAAAAAAGATTAATAATAGGAGCTGCCTCAGAGGGTTGTGAGAGTAATGAAAATACAATACGTAGAAAATACAGCAGTGCCATAGAATTGGAAGTGCTCAATTATATCATCATTATTATTGA